CCAGCTGAGTAGGGACTGAAACCTTCACAAACTGTGAGCTAAATAAACTTTTCCTTTCTTAACTTAGAGCATTGAGTATCTTGTCCAAGTCATGAGAGAAAAGTTACCAAGACAACAGAAGTAAATCAAATATTCAGAATTAAAAAGATGTATATGCCTCCCTCCAGGGGTGTCTCAGTTACTTTTCACTCATTTCTGGGACAAAATACCCAACACTTGAAATTAAGGACCCAAAAGGTTTATTTAGCTCGCAGTTAGTGGAGGTTTCAGTCCATACTTGGCTGCCTCCAGGACAGAAGGCAGCCCATAGTTCATGGCGGCAGTGACCAGCGGAGAGCAGAGGAAGGAGCTGCAGTTTTGGCATCTTGTCAAACCTCCCCGCCTTTCTTCCACACTGACTGGGAAAAGAGCTCCACCACGAAGATTGGAGCTCTTCTGAAGTGGCAGGGCTGTAAAGATCAAGGTCCTCTTAAGTGACACAGCTGCGAAGCTCAGAACTCTTCCTAAGAAGTGGATTGGGGGGAAGCCTTCCTCTGCCCTTTTTATGCTGAGTCACTACGGTGCCCTTCTCCCCGTGGAAGCCCAGACATCTTGGTTGACACAATGTATCAAGATAAAGAGGAATGATTGGCGGGGTGTGGAGCTATCATCTTAGGGGCTTTCAGCACACACATCTGTCCCAGAACCCACTCTGATTAAATTACATACATAATATACATAATTAGGAAAAATAAGCATGAGCCCTTTCTAGATTAATGGCTGCATCCTGAAGCCACACTTTTTTTTTTTCCAAATGTATTTGGTATAGGGTCTCCCTATGCAGCTAGGACTTGTAGTGATCCTTCTGTTTTCAGTCTCCCCAGTGCTGAGATTACAGGTGTGCACCACCACACCCAGACTCATTCACGGGCTCAGTGTGCCCGTGGCAGGGCATGCAGGGACCAGGGATTGAACCCTGGTCCTTGGACTTGCCAAAGTAGGCACTTAGTCTGATGAGCTATCTTGCCAAAGGCCTGACTCTTAATGGGAATAAATGGCACACACATCTGGCACCACATTGTTAATCTGGTGTGACAAACAAAGTGTAAATAAGGACCAAATATATTGGGAAAAGGGAAGAAAATGTTCAGATGGGAAGGGGAACCAAGGAGGGGAGGCAGAAGAAAGGAAGAAAGGAAGGGACAAGAAAAGAAAGAACAGAAGTAAAAATGATGGGAACAAAGCTTTTGTAACTAAAAAGGGGAAAGGGGTGAAGGGAGAGCAAAGGAGTGGGGAAAATAGAAGGAAGATGTGCCCTGTACGGGTAACAGACTCCCTGGGGTGAGTGCACTTGCAGCTAAGAGTCTGCAGTCTTCTTCCTTACCTTTGTTTCTTCTATTACATTCCACCCCCAAGTTAATTTTTCAACTTTTTAAAATGTATCATTTGATACTTCTTTGATCAAGAATTTGTGGAATATGTAGGTACTGGTCTGATTGAAAGTGTATTTCACTTTCATTTCATTTGAATTCTCTAAAATTTGTTTACAAAAAAATAAAAAAAAATTTGTTTACAAAATAGGTATAATAAAACTAATTCTCCTATCATACAGTGTAGGTTCTTGGAAGAGAAAAAAATCAATAACTTTTGTCATGAACAGTTTATGAGCTGTTAGATCTATGTGTGTATACATGGCATTAGCAGTAGCTAATATGAATCCTAATTTATTTTAGCATTGTCATTTTGATTTGTCTTTTTTTGAGACAGAGTTTCACTTTGCCTTTCAGGCTGGCCTTGAACTTGTAGTGATCCTCCTGCCTCAGTCCCCCTTGTGCTGGGATTATAGATGTGTGCTACCATACCCAGAAACATAACATTTTGAATGGGTTTTAACAGTCATTCTTGAGTTGAAATAATACGTATTTTGAAATAGAGACCAATCATCAATAGAAATGTCACGAATTATATGTGATTGCAAAAAAAGCTAGGACAAACTCAGAATTCCTGCTACTACTTTATCATATCATTCAGTGAAAGCCTGAGTCATGTAAGCAGAAAATTCAGGTTTGCAATTTTGTTTTTATTTATGAAGGCAATATATGAATAGTGTGGAAAATCCAAATGATAGAGGAAGAAGGGAGAAGAGAGAACCCTTCCAGAAACCTCACAGAATATAAACCACTGCATAATAAGACACGTCCTTCCACATGTCTTGCTCTGGATATATGACCTATGGATTTATAGATACTTAAATCTTTACATCTGCAACAGGAATCATGTCACATGTAGTTTTGCAACTGCAGTTTTCACTTGGTAGTATACCAAAGGAGTGTAGAGAAGTTTTATTACATATAATGAATAAGATATACTGTCCTATGGATGTGTCATAATTTTGTATCATTTGTATCAGTTTTTGTGAGTCTTGTAGCAATTCCTTATTAATACACATTTGAATCAAAATATTTCATTTTATAAACTGTACATAGTTTTCCTGCTTATTTCTGTAGGACAGTTGTTAATAGTGCTGTTGCTTGGTTAATGTTGCACATGGTCCAGCGATCCTGTTGCTAGCTCTATATTCAAAGGAAAAGGGTCCCAAACTATTTATTATAGCACTGTTGACAGTAGCCCATTTATGAAATTAACTGAGTTGTCCATTGGCAGGTGATTGTAGAAAACTAATATGGTACAATATACAGTGAAATATTGTTCAGCTGTTTATAAGATGAAATCCCGTCAGTGAAAGCAGTGTGAGTAGGCCTGGAGGACATTATATAAGTCAGATAAGCCAGGCATAAAGGAGAAAAATACTACATGTGTTTAGTGTTTGTGGGACTAAAAGTGTTGATCACATGCAAGTGGAGGATAGAATAGAGGAAAGTAAAGGATAAGAAGAACAAGAGGAAGGGAAACAGAAAGATGACGTGATGGATTCTTAAGTACAATTAGGAAAAGTGGCTCTCCTTTCTTATAGCAGAGTCCGTTACCAGCGAAAAGAATCTGTCAACTCCCAGTCCCTAGAAATGATAATATCTGAGGAGGCATCAATGCAGATTACTTGCATCTAATCACTGTACTTCGTATTCGTGTGTTCACTACAACACGACACATCATAAAGTATTGTTGATAAACATGCAGTTTTTGGTAAGTGCTGTGCAGTTTCCCTCCTGAAAGTGAGTGGGGATGCCCGTGGGAAGGCCTTTTCCCCTCACACATGCTGTGTTGTGTCTCTTTTCTCTTTTAAATTTGCCAGCTTGAGATTTTTACTACACTATTTTTGTTTGTATGTGTCAACGTTGTGTTACTTGGCTTTCTGACACTGACAAAATACTGAGATAACCCAGTTTTAAGGAGGAAGGGTTCCTTTTGGCCCAGTTTCAGAGGGGTCTGTTATCATTTGACTCTGTTGCGTGTGGGCCTTGGTGAGGCAGTGCATCATGGTGTGAGCGTGTGGCAGAGGAGCACTCTTCACCTCATGGTGGCTGGGAAACATAGAGACTGGAGGTGGCAGGATCCCAGTGTCCTTCCCAGGGATGTGTGCTCAGAAACCTAAGTTCCTCCCACTAGGCTGCATCTACTAGAGCAGTGGTGGTGAGCCAAGCTGGAATCCAAAGGCCACTTATTTATCGCAGAGTCAACATTATAGTGAAACCTGAATACTAAGGATTTAGTTTAGAAAAACACCTCACCCATTAACATCTTTTATCTTAAAAGAAAAAATAACACATGTGCGCCACAGATTTGCCACCAGTGCCAGGGGCTGGGAGCCGGGCCCACAGTGCATCAGACTTTGGGGTTCACTCAAGAGCTGCCCTATAACAGACATCTTTCCTTGTTTCAGTGGACATTTGAATTCTGAGAGTTTCATTTTTAAGCATTTATTCTCTTTTAGTGTTTAATCCTTTTTTTAAATCCTTAACTGATTTTTAAATTGGGCTTATAAATTCTTTGTCATAAATGTATTTTTCCTCCAGTATGTTTTAATGTTTTTAAATTTTGTTTGCATGTTTGCTCTTTTCAACTTTAGAAATTTTTGAATTATTTTCTCAAAATTTCCTAATGATTTTTTTTGTTGTTTTATTATAGTAGAGTTAATTGGATGGTTTTCCTGTGTTGAGATCATTAAAATATTTATCCATACTTTCTTGTAGTGTTTCTACATGTTAATTTTTTTCCATCTATGAATCTGTAATCCCTCCGGATTATGTTTTGGTAAGCAGTGACATATTTCGGTACCTCTCTGTTTCTTACACCCTTCTCTGGTTTTTAACCTTGACTGGTAGATGGGAAGTGCCTTGCTGCTTACTCGCTTATCAGTGTCTTGGGTGGTTATTAGTGTGGGAGGGGCAGGGGTGGGATGGGGTGGTGATTGGCTTTTGTGTGTTGGGGCTTCCTTCTCTCCATATGTATGTGGAGCAGAGAATTCTGAGAGCTTCTACCAGAGGAGCATCCCTTGGCAGTTTTCTTTTTTACTTCTGTAGTGATTGAGGTTCTTTTTCAAGGGACATGGAAGTGTGGTAGGGAGATGTAAGAAACCAAGGCACCAAGTTATTAGAAATCTTAGATATATGAGTGTGTGTGTGTGTGTGTGTGTGTGTGTGTGTGTGTGTGGTGTGTTTTCTCTCCTTTTACTGGGGATCAAACCTAGGGCCTTATGCAGCCTAACACTGAGATACATCCATGGCTCTCATTTATTTTATTTTTTTATTAATTTTATTGAGAAATAGCAATGAGACAGTTTCAAAACAGGTTAGTAGGATAGTTACAATAATTAATACATTGCATATTGTTGTCTTTATATTTTAAATTTTCAGTCTGAACTGCTTATCAATGGCAGATGTCCTTTTTTCATGATGATGCTCCAAACTCTGAATTCTGTGGCAAGAAGTATTTTTTGTAACTTTATTTCAGCATTCTTAGTTCATAAAAGAATGGGGAGAGAAGAGTGTCTTTCCTTTCCCTCTTTGATGCCTAATCCCAACTCATAAGTAAATGCTATTCATTTCTTAAATATCTTTCAGAAATCGTAAGCATCATTTTTGATAAGCACATACTGCTGAGTGTTCATTTGGTGAAACTGAAGGTCCTTCAGAAGAAATAAATTAAGAAGGTAAGAACTAAACATATCTCCCTATATGGTTTTGAAATATACATTTCTTCAAGTAGTAAGGAAGAAGCTGGACTGACCTACCCTGTGTCCTCATGAGGACAGAAATTGCATATTAAACTCCAGTGTCGTTGCACTCCTGGTGCGATCTCTCCATCTTGCACTTTGACTTGGGAGAGAAGTTGTCCTTGCCAGCAGGGTCATGGACTATAAATGTAGAGACAAGACACATGTACAAGGAACTATGCCACTATGTTGTGTCATAAAATACAGAAATCACTGAAGATAGAGAAGATTATTAGGGCCAGAAGTGATCAGAGTGTGGCTGGATGGAGAGGCAGGAGTGCACCCAGGGACCTTGCGCTGACCGCGGTAGCCAGCCTTCACACAGACATTAATGGTCACCCTCCTCAGCAAGTAAATGAAAGCCCTCTCCACGCCTGCCAGGTGAAGTGCCTTGGTGTAAACAGTCTGTACTGTGTGCTTCTGCCCTATGTATAGGCTCCTTGGGATTTTTTCTTCCCATCTTCTGCTTCCTCTGGTGTCCTGAGTGCCAGATGCAGCTTGTTGATGTATAAAATGCCCCATGAGCATCCATGTGCGAGTGTCCTCATGTTATCCTGTGGCACAGGGAAGCCCCATGGGATCTTGAGCAGGGCTGAAGCCTTCCTGTTGCCACAGTCTGAAGGCACTGGGTCCCATAGCCATTTGCTCATCTCAGTTGGAGGTTTTGGGTGAAAACAAGGGTTCTAGAAAATTCCCTCCCATGTGTGGAGGGAACTCTGATTTGGTGTATGATTTCTGAATAGATTAGATGAGAAACCTGTGAAAATTTAGTACTAAGAAGGGGCCTTTGATGTAAGCACTTGCTAGCCAGACGGAGCACTGAGTTCAGCCAATGAGGTAAAAGGTGCCAGGGGAGGTTTGGGGGAAAGTTTCGCTGTTTCATAGTCTGAGCATTTTAAAGCTCAAGAGTTGGTTTTCCACTTGGTTTCTGGAAGACTGCACTCCCAAGTGAAGGCTTTACCTTAGTAGGTAACTGGGATGGCTGTGAAGCACCTGTGATCCTTCTGCCCCAGCCTCCCTCATAGGCTTGTGCTGCTACACTGGGCTCCAGGTTAATATTATACCAGCAGCCACCATTAATAATTATTGCCATGGATTTTTTTTTTTCCTTTCCAGATTTGCTAGAATAGATCTACAGTTGAGGAAGACATTTGGTTTAGTTGGACACTTGCTAAACTCACCGTTACCTATCTCTTTTTGTCTTTCCAGATATCTAGAGGAAAAAAAAAACTGTATTTCATAATAAAATTATTTGTTTAGAATAAAAAGTTGTTATTTCAAAAGAGTTAAAGGATATATTGATACACTTTATCCTTTGTCTTGTTACAAAAAGCTAAATCACATTATTTAGTTGTCAGTATCCATTTGCTCATAGTTGAATGGATTTAGATAGATTTAGGTCAGGACTTCTAGTTTTGGAGGTTTTGTTCTACTGTTTGTCCCGGAGTAGATAAGCATTCTCAACTGATAGTGTGTTTGGGCTGGTAGACTCTAATCTGATCTTCAACAAACCTTTCAGAACCTGCGCTCCATCAGTCTTGTCAGCCGCTGTGGATGGCCCTGGCTCTCTTGGCTGCCCTTCCAAGTAGGATGTCACTGAGGTCCCTTAAATGGAGCCTCTTGCTGCTGTCACTCCTCAGCTTCCTGGTGATGTGGTACCTCAGCCTTCCTCACTACAATGTGATCGAGCGTGTGAACCTGATGTACTTCTATGAGTATGAACCAGTTTACAGACAAGACTTCCGCTTCACACTTCGAGAGCATTCAAACTGCTCTCATCAAAACCCATTTCTGGTCATCCTTGTGACTTCGCACCCATCCGACGTGAAAGCCAGACAGGCCATTAGAGTTACGTGGGGAGAGAAAAAGTCTTGGTGGGGATATGAGGTTCTCACGTTTTTCTTATTAGGCCAGCAGTCTGAAAGGGAAGACAAAATGTTAACACTGTCCTTAGAGGATGAACACCTTCTCTATGGTGACATAATACGACAAGATTTTTTAGACACATATAATAACCTGACATTAAAGACCATTATGGCATTCAGGTGGGTAACTGAGTTTTGCCCCAATGCCAAGTACATCATGAAGACAGACACTGATGTTTTTATCAATACTGGTAATTTAGTAAAGTATCTTTTAAACTTAAACCACTCAGAGAAGTTTTTCACTGGTTATCCTCTAATTGATAATTACTCTTATAGAGGATTTTACCAAAAAACTCATATTTCATACCAGGAGTATCCTTTCAAGGTGTTCCCTCCCTATTGCAGTGGGTTGGGCTATATTATGTCCAGAGATTTGGTGCCAAGAATCTATGAAATGATGGGCCATGTAAAACCCATCAAGTTTGAAGACGTTTATGTTGGGATCTGTTTGAATCTGTTAAAAGTGGACATTCACATTCCAGAAGATACAAACCTGTTCTTTTTGTATAGAATCCATTTGGATGTCTGTCAGCTCAGACGTGTGATTGCAGCTCATGGGTTTTCTTCTAAGGAAATCATCACATTTTGGCAGGTCATGCTAAGAAATACCACATGTCATTATTAACTTCACACTGTACCAACCGCCTAGTGCAGGGCAGCGCACTCTGTGGAGTGTTAGAGCTGGTGCTGTAGACAACTCCAGAAAGCTCAGTGTGCTGGCTCACGCTGAAGTGGCACTCATGGAGACGGGAGGGCCACACTGTACTTGGGACACATTTTGATAAAATTCAAGTCAGGTCTTTTAATGGCATTTGGAAGAATGAAACATTTATAAAGGCATCAGAGGTACTTGTTCATAAAATTAATCAGACTGAACAATTTGAACATGTCATTCTGTAGACTAGAATTTCTTCAAAGGGTTTCTCTGAATTATAAGCTCATTCATGTATAACAAAGCATTGTGGAGTTCTATTTATTGAACAATCCAAGAGTTTAGTGTGTATCTTACGTGGATTACCAGTTTTTTAAAAAATATGTAGTTCTTTGTAAAGCGACTTCACTGGTTATACTGAACAAAATTTCATTGTTTTTATCACTTGATAGATCTTCATGATCTGATTGCAGAGTTATCAACTATTTAATGTTAGTTCAGACTTTCTGGATGTTTAAATGTTAAGGTGGTTTCAATACTGTAAATGGAATAGTGAATCACCTTTTATATTTGAACTGTGTTCCATTTCACTGATCATTTTATTATTGGTACCATTCTGAGTATTAATCTCTTGAATTTGTTACATATTTTGCTGTGGTATTACAGAGAGAATCTAAAGCAAGAAAATCTGAATTATTGTCATCTTGTTTTTAAAAATGCAGTCCTGTGCTTTTAGATGTCATTCATCTGGCTTGTTTTCCACACGAAACTCAGGAATGATAAAGAATTCCAGGCAGTGTGCTTCCTTTTGGAAAAGACTTTGTGCAAACCAAGGACAAGAACATGAGGGGCAGCAGTTTATGAAAAGTGCCACATTCCGGAGTTTGAGCTGGAAAGACTGAACATCCAGGCTGCGTTGCCGATCTGTTCCGTGTATTTCCTCATTAACAGTCAATTTGTGAATAAAGAGGAAAAAAGAAAAAAGACAAAGAAGTAACGGCTGCCGTTATTTGTCATCAAGGTGAAAGGGCTGATGCATATCCTGAAGTTAGTTTAAATCTTACATGTTTTCATAGACGTGGCAGTGGGGTCTTTGTTAGACGTGCCACTCTTAGACCAAAGAGGACTGGTTGTCCCATAATCCTGGGATTATTTAACTTTCTATTAAAGTTTTAAGTTTCTTTTTTTTCTTAGTTATATACAAGAAAAGGGATAAATCCTCATCTAGGAAATATCAGCTTGAAAGTATGTGGTCAGCTTTTCTATTAGCCAAATTTTAATTCTGTGTGAAAAACCAAAGCTTTTTTTTTTTTTTTTGTATTTTAGGGAAGAGCCTACAGGGTGCTCAGGGTCTCACTACTAGATCAAACTCATAGTGATCCACCTATTTACAGCCTCCCAAGCGCTAGGATTATAGGTGCACACCACCACACCCTGTCTTGGCTTCTGCGCCTGCTTGCAGATGCTTTAATCTGCTGAACGAATTGGCTGGCCCCCAAACCTTTTTCTTTTTAATTTTTAAAAATCATTTATTTATCTTTTTGGTGCAGGGTCATGCTACGCAGCTCAGACTCAGTGATCCTCTTGTCTCAGCCTCCCCAGTGCTGGGATTACAGACGTGCATCACCATGCCTGGTTTCAGTAGCTGGCATGGCATGCGGTACCAGGGATCAAACCTGAGTCCTTGTGCTTTCCAGGCAGGTGCTTAGACCGCTGAGCTATCTCCCCAGCCCCAAAAAACCAAACTTTGATTAAAACTTCACTACCATCATGGGTGTCCAGCATGGTGGTACATGCGTGTAATCCCAGCAGTTAAGAGACTGAGACAGGATGATTAGTATGAGTAGGGGACCAACCTCTGCTACATAGTGAGTTCAAGGCCTTCCATAACTACAAAACCAGATTCTGTGTCAGAAAAACAACAACAGAAATCACCAAGAGTTGAGAAATTTCAATAAAATTTTTTAAAAACTACCTTGTGTGGTCTCTGTTGCAAGGATATTTATGTTTCTTTGTCCTCAGACCTGCTCCAGTTAGAATAAAAATCAATTAAATGAACTACTCTATGAAGTTGGCCTATGCTCTGGCTAATCCCTCATTTAGAAGTCACTTCCTTTTAGAGTAACTGTGGCTGTTTTTGTGGCACAGTTAGGTTTGATCCATTTTGCAAAAGATTGTATTAATGTTTGGGATGCTAATTCAGAGGATTTTCAGAGAAAATATTTATTTATTTATTTATTTATTTATTTATTTATTTATTTATTTATTTATTGCAGTACCAGGGATTGTACTCAGGAACCTACACTTGCCAGGCAAGCACTTATTCTACTGAGCTATCTCCCCAGCCCTGAGAAAATTTTTTTTTAGCAGAACTGGGGATTGAACTCAGGCCCTTGAGCTTGCCAGGCAAGTGCTTATTCTACTGAGCCATCTTCCCAGTCCCGAGAAAATTTTTAAAATAAAAAATAATTTCACTCTGAGATCCATAACAACCCACCCCAAAGTTTATAAGCTTGTTCCTTCCAAACTAAAGATTTCTTCTTAAAATATCTAAAATGATCATAGAAAACCAGGTATGTTTGTTGTTCTTTCTTATTGCATGTTTCCTGGTGTTCAAATAGTACATAACAAGTAGCAGTGTTTTCTTTGAACTCATGGCACATGCCACTGGTTGCTGGGATCCTGCTCCATGGGTCTTTTCTTCCCAAAGCATGGACTGAAAGGCACCACCTGTCAGGTCATACTGTTTTTATGCAGGAAAGGAAGAAGGTAGTTGTTGGAAATGCCATGAAATATGCCTGAAAACCAGTCCCATGCCGAGCCAACCATCAGTGGGATAGGGAACTGTATTCCCTCACAGGAAGCAACTGCAGGTCTTGTTGCACCATGCTGAAATGTGTTGCTCTTTCACAGAGTGGGAATGCAACACTGGGTCTAGTCATACCTAGTGTGTTAAAAGCAGATGAGGCTCTGGGGCCTCTCTCTCTGTAATGTTTGGAATCTTAAGTCATCCCCAGAGGCCCATATGCTAAAAGCTTGGTCAACACCCTTTAGCATTATTGGAAGGTACGTAATCAGGAGATAGGGTCCTACAAAAGGAAGTCAGACCATAGGGTATGCCCTTGAAGAGGATAGCAGACTGTGCCCCACCCCTGTTTTCTCACTGCCCTGAGGTGAGCAGTTTTCTCCACATGCTTTTGCTGTGGTGTACTGGCTGCCAACAGACTCAAAAGCACGGGGGGGCCAAGTAACTGAAACCCCTGAAGCTGTGAGCCCAAAGAAGATTTTCTTGCTTAAAAGTTGGTTATCTCTGGAGTTTGTCAAAGTGATAGAAAAATGACATGGGTTCTGAGGCTGGCTTGGGCTTGTGACCCTTTCCTGAGAAACCACTTTTTCACCTTTCCTTTGCTCTACCTTAAATGGCCTTGGTATTACTGTGTTCCCATCAATTCCTCAGGTGCACCATAGCCAGAGCTGAGCCATACTTCTGAGCATGAAGTGGGATGTTGTCCTTTTTCATGACTTCTGTTATTGTAGGCTCATGAGAAGAGGAAGGGGCCAGTTTTGAGGCAGGAGAAGGGTATGTGAAGAGCATATTTGGCCCTCTTTGAGGCTTTTATATTCTACAATCCACAAAGACTTAATGTCCTTTATACTAAATAACTGGGTATTTTTGTGACTCAAAGACCAACTGTCATTGGAACCCCTTAATAATCTCGATCAGCTCCCTGATTATCTCGTATCTGGTTAACATGGGAACAGACTTTCAGGAGTCCATCAAAATAGGCAGCATGTGCTGGTGTTTATAAAAAGTTGTAGTTTTTGTTATGAACTTAAATTTAATTAAAAAATTGAGAGGCCTATGTGTAATGTGATCTGTGCTGTGTATGGCCAGATTTCCAAATCCTTGGTCTTGACTCTCTTAGCAGTATCTGTTATGATTTGTGTATAGGTGTCCCTCCAAAGCCTCATGCAGTAATGCGGTGGCTTCTGGAGTTTGTGATTGTCGTGGGTGTGGATGCTGCACCTGCCCTGGGGCAGGTCATTTGCATTTCAATGTAAGGAGGGAAGAGCAGTTAGCTGCTTGAGCTGCTGCTACTCCTTTTGCTCTCTGCTGGCTTCCTTGAAAGGTTGTTCTCTGCTGTGTGCCACTCTGCCTTGGAGCTAGCCAAGTATGGATGGAAACCTCCTGTAACTGTGAGCTAAATCTTTCCTTCCCTATTTTGAATGTCTAGTATTTGATCCAGCAATGAGAGAAGAGTAACTGAGACAATATCCAAGTAGCATAGATTGCAGACCCATGTGCTACTCCATAGGAAATAGAGTTTGAGTGTCCAGGGTAGACAGTTGAGTCACTACCGCAGCCCGCCTCTCCATGGTTGTCAGGCGCTTCTCTTAGCTGTCTCTTTTCTTCTCACACTTCTCATAGATGCTGCTGCTATCAATACAAAATAATGTAAAAAAATAAGAAAATAGATTTGAGCCAAACTTGAGCAACATGGCCCAGAAACATGGATTCATTTACCCTGAATGACGTGTTCTGACATAGAAGAGGCATGGACTTTAATAGCCACAGAAGAAGGAAGGTCATCAACCAATAAATTTACCAAATATACTGTCAGGGAATTGGGTTCATGGGCTACAACAAAGAGGGGGATCCTTTCTGTGGGTTTCACATGTTACAGCCTTCTTAGCTGTTCAGGTTTTGTAGAGTTCTCCTAAGCTTGGTGATAAATTCTAGCTTAGTGATACATCTGATGTTACCGCCCAGTCATGAGGCAGTTACATCTGATGAGGAGCACCACAGCAAAGGGCTAGTAAAGTAATTGAGATGGCCCAAGACAATTTGGGCTCTTGACCTGGGACATCTCATTTCTTCCATTGTTCTGCTTAGCAAGATCAGTGTTCTTTGGAGAACTTCAGCTTCGGTTTCCTACAACCCACTTTTTATTTACTTCCTACAGCTTCATTAACCATTGTATAAATCTTAGAATTTCTTGTAGTTTGAAAACAGCAAAAGGAGCTTCAGATTTCCACATTCCACACTGGACCTTGCTGCTCACAGGGACATTCTCCTCATTTCTTCTGGTGGTTGTCTCAAAAGGTAGCTGCTGAGTGCCCCACTCGTGTGCACCCTTGTGCACTTTCCACCTACCTTGCCTCTGAGCATGCAGTTGTAATCAGCCCAGTGTGACAGAACAGATGTTAAATGGCTCCCAAGTCCTGGTCAGAAAGTACCCTATAGCTTCTGTCTTACTTTGCTCCAAAAGAGTATGTGTTTCTGTCCCAAGACACCACCAGGAACCCAGGCCAGCTACTTAGAAAGGACATGTGGAGCAGTCGCGCAGTGGCTCTGCACTGCGCCTGCCAAAGCACCTGAGGTGCCAAACATGGGGTGGAGAACACATTGTGGAGCCTGCCGACAACGCCAGCCTGTTTCGCACAGGACCCTGATTAAACCTGATCTTCATGAACTCACAGAATCTTAAGAAATCATTCAGTTTTGCTTTAATCTATCTAGGCTTGGGATGGCACATTGTGTCTCACCAAGTAAATTCTGAATTGGCTGTGGCTTTCCCTAAGTCCTGGGCAAAGTCTTCCTTTTT